TTAAATATACAACAGAGAGATACAGGATGTGTGTATGGGTGGAAACGTAGTAGGGATGCACCTGTGATCGAATGACATATTGTATGGGATGATGGGTTGTTTTTTTTCCCTCTCCTTTTCCCTTGTTTTTTTTTCTATTGTTATGTGATGTTGTCTATGTAATAAAAAATAAAATTATTTAAAAAAAAGACCTAGTAGAAGACCTAATCTCACCACAGACCATTAAAAACAACTTGGATTTCTTCCCACCTCTCTCTTTACCTTTATTGACAACTATGGCTGAGGATCCAAAGTCACACAATCATTGTCCCTTTATATATATAAAAAGGGAAAGAGATAATCTTGCCAATTAGCCTACCCAATACAACCAATAAACTTTATTTACATATAAAGTATATGTTAATTCATTTTACTGTTTGTACCCCAAACAGATTAATTTGGCAACTAGGTTAAACATACTGTATCTGCACAATCAGCATGTGGCCTTGAATCAAACAATATATATTCTCCCAACCTACTCAAAAGCCTATCATGTAGAGAAGAGTCAAAACTAAATATACTACCTAGTATAAAAGGTTGGTTCTAATAAAATATTCATATATCCCTGTGGATATTTGAGGGAACTCACTTTTCTGCATGGTTTTGATCTTGGAAAGTTCTCCATCTGCTTCCAACTGTCCAACTGACCCCTAGAATTCTGATATCCAATCAGATGTCTGGCTTGCAAAATGAGCTAATCCTGTGCTAAATTAAAAGGCAGTTATTAATCTACATTTTATGGTATTTTCTCTCAGGTTGTTGCTGGGATAGCTGCAGCCTCTCGTGGAATGTCTTTGTATGTGTTTTCTGTGTTGATAGCTGGATGGGACTGTTTTTTTGTTTTTGGGGGGGGGTTGGGGGGAGGGGTTTTGTTATTAACTTGTTTCTTATTTGTATTGTATTTTTATTTGTCAGTTTTACTATGAGTCTCTTAGAATTGTTCTGGAGTCAGACAGTACCTGGATCAAATAAATTAAGATATATATGACACTACAAATGTAGACACTTGGGATATGGTTTCTGGGGAAAGAGTAAAAGACTAAAAATAACAGATGAAGTAATTTAAACAATGTACATAATGATTATCAGGGAACAATTGGAACAAATATTTAAGTGGGGGAAATATATATTTATATGTATCAAGAATTCTGGATGCTCTCTGATCTTGGCTATTTGCTTATGCAATTGTGTGGTTTCTGAGTAAGAATTCAAAACAAAGAATAATTTGTGGAATTGTTGGTGCTCTCCAAATTTAGTTGTTTGCTTATCCTTTTTCATTGCCAAATTAGAGGACATCATCTTTACACAATCACACAAGCAAGCATCCAGGCTCAGAGGTGGTTAAGAACTCCAGAGTTCAACTCTGAGCCACAGATATTGTTTTCTCTTTGGGGGAATAAATCTCTTTCTCTTTCTCTCCCACTCCCCCCCAAATTTGATCTCGTACTCTAAAATTTCCCTTCTGACTTTCTGAATCAACAGTTAATTTTAATCTCATTTGGTATATTATGAAATATTACATCATTGTGTTTTTCTCTGTATTTCCTGTTTTGCTGATCTAGTTCCATTGAATATCCCCTTTCCCCACAGAAAATCAAATAACATTCATACATAATTTCACATGTCCTGCATTAATTTATCACACAGGGAAAAACAAATAGAAACAGCTGCTCTCCCTTGGTCAGTGAAAATAGGAGTATTGAAGTATTCGAATCTCAAATAATCAATATGGTTGAACTTGCTTTTTTTCTTCAACTTACCTCTTTTTTTTAATTCTGTGCCATGCCTTTTTAGAATACTGTTGCTGAAGCAGAAATACTTCCTTCATTCCTTACCTCCTTCCTTCCCTCCTTCCTTCCTTTCTTCCTTCCTTCCTTCCTTCCTTCCTTCCTTCCCACCTCCTCTGATTTCAACTCCCTTCCTTTAATCCTGTATATTATGGTTCATTATTGTTAGTATTTATTAAAGAATGCTGTGTAGCTTAGAAGCTCTCAGCAAAAATAACAGCAGCTGTTGTTTGTGGCTGAAGCTATCCTGGGCTGTTATTTACACACACACACACACACACACACACACACACACACACACACGTGTGCGCGCACATAAACACACAAAATTTTTATTCCACTTTCCCTGGGTCCTTGGGAAAGGAATGGCATCTTTTCCTCATCCCTGTCTTTAATAAATTCTAACCCCAACCCCCCCACGCAGCCTTGTAGCTATGGTTTTTCCAGTTACAATGTATGGCTGTGAAAGTTGGACCATAAGAAAGGCTGAGCGCCAAAGAATTGAGGCCTTTGAACTATGGTGCTGGAGAAGACTCCTGTGAGTCCTTTGGACTGCAAGGCAATCAAACTGGATCTCCTAGAAGAGATCAACCCTAACTGCTCTTTAGAAGGCCAGATCCTGAAGATGAAACTTAAATACTTTGGACACTTAATGAGAAGGCTCAATGGAGAAGGGCCTAATGCTGGGAAAGATTGAGGGCAAAAGAAGAAGGGGATGACAGAGAATGAGGTGCTGCATTGAGTCACTGAAGCAGTAGGCATGAGCTTAAATGGACTCCAGGGATGATAGCGGACAGGAAGGCCTGGAGAAATGTTGTCCATGGGTCGCAATGGGTCAGACACAACTTTGCTACTAACAACCACAGTCCCACCTTGCTTTCCCCTCCCTTTAAAATAAGGCTAGGGAAGAAAGCTGGGAGGGCTTTCCTTTTTTTGAACTCTGGTCCGCTGGGCCTTAATTTTTACCATTTATTGGGGGGAAATTGATTTTTATTGGCTCTTCTCCCCACCCCACACCAAAAGGAAAGCCAGTCTGTTCCCTTCTCTCCTTCCCCCTATCCCCCATTTAATACCTCTTCAAGACAGAGGAGTGTGCACTGGAAACATGTGTTGGAGTGATATGGGAGTGCGACGTTTGACCCTCCAGCACTCGGCTTGCAACTCTCCACACTCCTACAGGCCCAGCTTGCTGGGGAGGGGGGGTGAGCAGCGCTTATGCCTCTGCTGCCTTCCCCCAGCCATCGCTTCTCGGCTTCCTCAAAGGTATGGCACATTTCAAGGGTGGCTGCTCGCATCTGGAGGTGCTGAACAGTGTCCTGCTACAAGAGCCCGGCCAGGCCTCTCTACCATCTGACTCACCAATGGGGACACTTCTGTCAGATCAGCTTCCGCCCCCTCCTGCTGGGCTTTTGTGCTCAGTGCTCAGCCAGGAGAGGGTAGCACTTCCCCATGCCACCCCTTCTTTCTCTTGGCCCTGCCATCAAGAGAGGACGAAGGCCAGGTTTGGGTGAAGGACCCCACCCCACAAGATCTGCCCCTGCCATTCTCTCCCAGCCCTCTTGGCTGGCAGCAACAGTAAATGTATGCAATGAAGGTGAAATGCTATTGCCGCACAGAGGGAAGTGCAGGGGCACTTTGCTGTCACCCTAAGACTCTGCTCATCACCACTTCTTTTGTGAGAAGTTGGAATTGATTGAGTGAAACATAATGGAGAAACACGATTGGAGCTGGGCTGGGGCGACGTCATGTGTGTCCACAGAGAGGGCTCTGCATACCATGTCTGGCACACATGCCATAGGTTCGCCATCATGATTCTAGGGGTATTCAGCATACCTAATTGCCCTCTTCCTTAGACTTTATTTTTATTTTGCTTGTATTTGTTTGTAGTCTGTTTTCAGTTGTTCACAATGGTTTGCTTGTCGTTTGAAAACCTTGTGTTTTACTCATAAAATTGCTGGTCTTAGTTATGCCATTTCAGCTACCAAAGTGTCAGCATTCAGAGAATGAGTTCGCTGTTGGAGCATGGGACAATCCTTCAAATCCACTCAATTCACTCTAGCAGACTGAAGTGAAGAATGTCAGTGGACGGGACCAGAAGAAGGGCCTTCTTTGCTGAAGCCCCTGTTCTGTGGGACTGAGCAACAACCTCTTCTCTGTTAAGGCATTCAGGGATTAGAATGGCCTCACCACTGTTGATCTTTTAGAAGGCTTTAAAAAATCTGGACATGAGGCTCCAAAGATACTACAGGCCCCTTCTCTTGGCATTATTGTCAATTAGTCAACTAGCTCAGCTGGTGTGTGGGTGTGTGTGTGTGTGTGTGTGTTTGTTTGGATTGTTTTTATTGGTTTTAACTTTTATCATTTCAGAATTGTAAGCCACCCAAAGTCATTTAGTTGAGATGGGCAACAATAAAAAATTAAATAAATATAAATAGGATTATAGAAAAAATAGAAGAGCAGAGTTGGAAGGGACCTTGGAGATCTTCTAGTCCAACCCTCTGCTTAGGCAGGAAACCCTACACCATTTCAGACAAATGGTTATCCAACATTACTTTTCTTTTTTATTCTAGAGTACACTTTTTATTTCCAAAATAATGCTAAAAACACCTGCAGTTTCCCTCAGGATCATTTGGCTACACAGCACTACAATAGACATTTTCCCTTCAGACTCCAGATAGTATTACTATTTCTAAGGTTCCCTATCTTGAAAAGTTCACCATATACATAAAAGCTGACCTACAATCCTATTTTCTGTAATGGGGTTGTTTGTATGATTTAGTGATGGGCTTTGTTAGTTTTTAGTTATTTAATACTAGTAAGAATTACATGATGCCATCCCCTTTTACAAATGAAGTCAAGTGATTCAGTCCATTCCATCCTATTTAAATTACTATGTATATCCTGCCCTTCCTTCAAGAATTAAAGTGGTATATATAGCACATCTTCATCTCATTTTTTCCCATAAAGTTGGGCAAGAATGAATGTCTACCCTAAAGATACCCAAAGAGTTTTTATGGATAAGACAGACATGCCAGATATAATTACAAAGTTGCATATACCACAAATGTGTGTGATTTTTATTCATTTATTTATTCATGCTGAAGATCCAGTTTAGTCTTAAATGGCATGCAAAGAATTGTTTGTCACAAAAAAATTGACAAGGCCAAGACAAAGTATAATTATGATCAGATTTAATTTCACCATGTGGCATAAATATGAATTCTCCCTACCTGGTTTAGTGTTATAAATGTAAAAACTTCCATTTGTCTGTCCCCACTGTCTGGGGACAAAACAGTGAAAATTTTGAAAGTATGCACAGTACATGGTTTTAGAGCTGCAAGTTGTGCAATTGATCTTTAGTTATTTCTTTTCATAGGAAAGTTAGCTCTTTCCTTAGAGAAAGAGCTAGCTTTGAAAAATAAATGATCTAGAAAGCATCTGAGAAGGAACAGGAAATGAGACAGAAAGCCAAGATAACATCGCCATCTTTAGTATAAGAAGAGACAGCAGGAAAATGTTATGCAAAATTCTTCTATTAAGCTCCATCACAACAGAATTTCCAAGTAATCCTTATGATGACTGTTTCCTGGTCTGAAATATATCAATTAGGGAATATACACATTTCCCTGCCACAACCATGTGGCAGTTATAAGCAAATAATAATAATAATTTCCCCAAAGAGTTACAAAAAAAAATTATGTCCAGATCTAGAAAGCAAGGAAAAGTCAACTTCTTTAGTATATTGGCTGTTGATAAGTTTCAGCAAGGCCTGAAGATTGGCTGGTCTACCTTTGAGCTGAAAAATACAAAGGAATGTTCAGTCAGCCTGTTTGTTGTTGTAAAGTGTCAACTCTATACATAGCTCAATCTGGAAGAGTGCAGACTGGGTAATTCAGGACAGACCAGGAGGAATAAAATAAAATCCTTTAACATCTCAAATACAAGGCAAAATATAGCTTTTCCAATGAAATGCACTGTGAAATCATATTATCACGTCTCAGGGCAGAAGATGTGGTTTCATTTGGAAGTTGTCAGATGTAATTCTTGGCATTTTCAATGAAAGGATCCAACACAGCTCCTCTCAGCCAGACTAGGAGATTTCTGCTTAAAACTTTGAATTATTAATGATCAGACTACCATTGATGATACAACTAAAGTAATTGCATGCACTCATGGAGTTTTTCTTATAGTTCCTTCACTGCATTAAATTCCTATTAAAAACAATGTTTCATAATTGCTCCTAGACCAATACTACATTAATAATATGGAACTACTAAGTAGCATTTAAATTTCCCAAGTCACTCTTTACCAGTCTTTTATAAGAAAGGTCTATAAAGGTCCATGATCAGTGTGTTATAAGCACAATATATTATAGAATGTACCTCTTCCAGTCTGATCAGTCCTCAAAGGTGAACTAGAGGAAGGATGGAAGAAGTCTGCCCTGTTCAAATATGGGAATTAGCCACTCAGCTAATGAAGGCCAAGGGCAGAGGAAGCATAAAATAGACTGGATGTCTTCCTGCTTTAGTAACGTTGCTAAAAAGTAATGGCAATAGGCTATAGGTTATGAAAGTGCTCCAGATTTTTCCATAGGAAATACGTGCAATCTCAGGAGCATTGTTTCTACAATCTTGCTCTAATCTTTTTAATAACTCCATGAGAAAATTGATTTCAAAACATAGGTGTTATCCAAATGAATGATACATTTATTTTTCACAACAGACCTATGGTGTCAAACCCACTAGCATAGCAGGATGTTCACAGATAAAAAGTGCATCTCTAAGAGGTAGAAAATCAGCTGACAACAGAAGGACAATAAATGGGTAATGTCAGAAACTGCTGAAATGAAGATACCTTTGGTCCATCCCCATCTAATGAAAACTTTCTCAATCCCCACCTGAAATTCTTCAGTTCAATTCAACACAGAAGCCAACTATGATTGGCATCAGCATTGCCAGTGAGGGAACACCATCGTTTGTTATCAGCACGCCCATCGCTGGTACAGTTGTCATATGACTGTCCACGAAAGATAAAAGGAAAGACACAATCCGCTTCTAGATGATAAGAAGAATAAAATAAAATATGTGTTTTTTTAAAATTTTCTTGGTCTACATATCTTCTTTCTCTACAAAATGAAAAATTCAAACATTTTTTAAAACCATCTGCAAAATGTGGAGGCTACTAATTCAAAAATAAAAACTAATATAATTCATGTTTCCTTCAGTCTTCTTGCCCATTTGTACTGATGAGCAATTCAAATCATAAAATATTTGCTATATGATAATTCAAGTAATTCTTGACTTATGACTGGTCTCTTAGCAGCCATTTAAAATTACAATGTCCCTCCTTAGGAGTATTTACACCCAAATTCAAAGATCCAACATCTATTACCACTACCACCACCCACAGTAATGTGACCTATGTCAAGTGGTTGGCCACCATTTCACATTTACAGAAGTTTGCAGCATATTGCAGTTACATGACCACATGTTACAATGTTTTTCCCCCCCAAAAATGGCATTTACTTCTAGTTTTCACCAAAATTCATCCATAGCAAACAATTGGTTTGATTAACAACCATGACATTTGTTTAATGACCACTGCAAAAAAGGTCATAAAATTGGATTGGTCATGTGGGTAACCCTCTATAACAGGGGTAGTCAACCTTTTTATACCTACCGCCCACTTTTGTATTTCTGGTAGTATTAAAATTTTCTAACCGCCCACCAGTTCCACAGTAATGGTGATTTATAAAGTAGGGAAGTAACTTTATAAAATGTATAAAGCAGAGTTGCAGCAAACCCCTACTGCCCACCATGAAAGCTGGAATGCCCACTAGTGGGTGGTAGGGACCAGGTTGACTACCACTGCTCTATACAATTGTCATGACCGTGATGGGAAGGCTCAAGTTGAGGAGCACCAGTATTTAAATGTGGAGCATTCATTTGAACTCTAAAAAAATGAAGTGAAGGAGAGATGCCTTACATTTAATTGCATACAAGCAAGGCAACTTCTGTATTATTTTTTAAAAAACATATATTACAAGAAAAATTGAAGGAAAAGGGAAAGACATCATGAAAATGATTTGATTGTGTGGAACGAAGATGAAGAATACATGCAGGAAAATATAGATTTAAATATGGCAGGAAGTCCTAAAATGTACCAATTGGCAGTGTATGTATATGAAAATAGGAATACATAAATTAAATACCGGTGGAATGGTGTTAGGTAATGTGTAATCTATTGTGACATTTTTATTTTTTTTAAAGTAAGTATATATAAAAGCATATGTTACATCTTGATTATATGAATGTTGCAGTTGGATATAACAATACAAACATAAAATAATTTCCTAGCACTGTCCTTTTGGCTCACCATTGCAGAATCTCCATTTCAAACCACTTTTGTAGTCTGGAGTGGTGGCACACCAAGTTTTTCCTTCATTGTGATCCATAGTGGTACAGCTTTCATACGATTTTCCTTTATAGATGAAAGGAAAAACACAGCCTGTTTCTGAATTTTTAAAAAAAGAAAAAAGAAAAAAAGAAGAGAAAGGGCAATCAGTATTAATTTGAATTCAGTCTTCCCTTTAATAAATCATGTGAGTTCTGCCTAAATGCAGTTTAAAAAAATATTCTGAATAATATTCTGAATTATTCATAGAAAATCCTGTTTTAGTCCAGTTTGAGGATCTCTTTCCACCAACGTAATCACAGAGATGGAGGAATTTGAATGCCTCTTTTATTCCATGACTTAGAAATGTTTATTTTGACATGAAATACTTTTTATGCTTCTGTTTTTAATGAATTAATGGGTAAAATGTATAGATTATGTCACTTCATACATTAATTTACAGAACTGTGGAGGTTATCTGTGGCAAATGAGAAAATGAAAAGCAACAGCTTCACATAATGAGATTTCTGGTGTTGATGAATCTTATTGTGGTCACCTAATGCTGGGATGCCTAATGCATCTGTGAATGGAACAGAATGGAACAGAATAGAATAGCAGAGTTGAAAGGGACTTTGGAAGTCTTCTAGTCCAACCCCCTGCTTAGGCAGGAAACCCTCTACCATTTCAGACAAATGGTTATCCAATCTCTTCTTTAAAACTTCTAGTGTTGGATAGTTCTGTAGACAATAAATTGATTCATTGTTCTAACTGTCAGGAAATTTCTCTTTATTCTAGATTGCTTCTCTCCTTGATTAGTTTCCACCCATTGCTTCTTGTTATGCCCTCAGGTGATTTGGAGAATAGCTTGACTCCCTCTTCTTTGTGGCAACCCCAGAGATATAGGAACACTGCTATTATGTCACCCCAAGTTCTTCTTCCATTAACCATTATTTATGTTTTAGTCTCCAGTCCCCTAATCATCTTTGTTGCTCTTCTCTGCACTCTTCCTAGAGTCTCCACAGCTTGGTTAATCTGAATTTATTTTCTCACACAAAATTTCAGCTTTTTAGTGGAAACCATTTAATTAAATTAGATCAAGATTTTTAAAACAAGGTGGCAACAGAGAACACAAACTAGCAAAAACTAAAAGAAATGCCTGCATGTGACTATATAAAAAAATATTTGTCCATTCATTTTATTCATTCAATGGAAGTCAGCAACTGTCTCCCACTAAAGGAGCATCTGTACAATTTATATGCAATGAGTCCATCCCTAAAGAGCCTCTTTTCCATTATAAATAGAAAATTATCTGTAATGGAGAAATCTCTTTCTTCAAATTATATGGCAGAAATGAACAAAACAAGATGACACAAGGTTTTTCAATGTGATCTTCTAATTCTTCCCAATTACAATACCAAGTCAGCATGGTCCAAGAGGGCAGTAGTTCTGGCCCACTGTAGGTCATTATATCTAGATGGTTTTAGCCTGGAAAAGTTCCCTTAAAACTACAGATTTTTCTCGGATTCCTGCTCCCTGCCTATCATCTCCCATATGGTGCTGGTACTGGACTTCATTTCAGGATACTTAGAAAGGTCAGGGAAGCTCTTGAATAACTTAAAATGTAAGTTATTCAATGTGTTAACAATATAATTACACCAGGCATTAATTCCACTAAATGTCTACATACAAAAAAAAATTTTGCATTATGTTTCTTTACAGAATTGTGGTGAGATACTGAGAGAACCTAGTACAGCAATATTCTCCCCCTCTGGAATACAACATCTGAAGAATAATCACAAATGAAGAGAAAAAGAAAAGGCAAGATACTCCATTTCAATGATAATGGGATAAATCATGAAGAGCAATTCATCCCATGCATTGCTTTACTAAATCCACTTCACAAATACTCACGTTTCCCTAAAAATAAGACTAGGTCTTATTTTCTTTTGGGCCATAAAATGAGCACCAAAGGTTTTTTCTTATTGTTTTTTTCATGTATGGGAGCCCACTTCTGCTTGTTCGTGGTTGGGCAGGAGGCCGTACAACACGACAGTGCCACTGCTGTGAGGCTGTAATCCACAGCCAGACCACTCACAGCCCGACACCTACCTCACCTCACAGTGGCAGCTCCAGCAGCCCCATCCAGCAGGACCCTATGAGACCACCAGCCTGCTTCTTCTGCTTGCTCAGAGCAGGAGGCTAAGTGAGGTGCCAGTCATTTGACCACGAGGGAGGTGGAGCTGTCCTGTGCATCCTGCACTGGCTTACCTGAGGGCCCCTGAAGCCAGGCCATCCATTCCCCCACACCTGCCTTGCCTAGCAGCCACAGCACCAGCATACTGTTCGGCCTCCTGCATTGCTGCATTGCAACTGCATTGCAGCAAGAAAACAGAAAACGTGGTGCGATGGCCATGTGGGCTCTGCTGCACATGGCTGCTGGTGCTGTTACCAAGAGACAGAATGGGCCGCCGGGAAACTGCGCAGGCTGTTAATTAGGACTTATTTGTGGATTAAGGCTTATGCACGTGTAAAAACATGCTAGGGCTTATTTTCAGAATAGGTCTTATTTTGGGGAAAACGGGGAAGTTTAATAATTGTATGAAAACAAAATTATACCATCCAAAACCAATTCTCGGTCATTTTGAATGAATATGAACTTAGAATTCTCATGGGTGAAAATCAATCAATGAAAAATGTTGCTTCTCTTCACCATTCCCTTTTCATTCTCTTACTTGTGATAGTACAAAAAGTGAATCTCTTATCTACATCATAGTTCTTGGTGATGGCACACCAGAGTTTTCCATCTTCTCGTCCATCGCTTGTACAGCTGTTGTAGCTCTTATCATTGTAAGTGAATGGAAAGACACATTTGTAAGTTGTGCCTGGCCCTGCATTGCAGAAAAAAAGGAGAAGAAAGAAGAAGAAAAAGAAAGGTAAAAAAGCAAAGCTCAAAAGATGTGCAAAATGTGGGAACTAATGAAAATGAAAGGGTGTTTGTTGCAACAAAGTGCCTTCCATTGTTCAACTGTAGAATCTTTGTCATTCAGGTTTTTCAAAAATAGACCTTTTTCTAGAGCAACTAAAACACCTCCATTACTCTTTTTGTACCTGTGTCATTGCAGCACATCCATTTTTTATCCACATCATAGTTGCCAGTAGTGGCACACCACTTCTTCCCATCCCTCATGCCATTACTGATGCATGTGCTATAGGAATTGCCATTGTAGATGAATGGGAAAACACAAGTTGGTCCGTCTATCTTTGGATCTGGATCTGGATTTTAAAAGACCACAGTAGAAAAATACTCACTGGATTCAAAGGAATAACTTAAAATTGTCATGTAGAGAGAATAAAACACTATATCAAGTAGTGAAAATGCAAAATCTAAAGGAAAAAATCGCACCTAATTTTGCTGCTATTTCAAATGCATGTTGGGCGAGAAATACATTGATTTCAGCTTTTCAATACTGTTAACACTTTGGAACTGGTGCTTCCTAGGGGATCAGAATCCTTGAATGGCAGTGCATCTAGTCTCTTTTTTCTTCTCCAAAGCAAAAAATGTATTAATTTTGGAAAATATAAAAAGAGACAAAGAAAGTTCTCACCAGCAGACCACCTGAGTACCTTTCTTGCAAAAAGATTCAAAAAGTCATGTTTCACTTAAAATCATGCAGTATATATTCTGCTAAGTAGAGAAGCAGCCCTTCATTCTAAATTAGCTGTCCCAGTCTGTATTTTCTAATAAGTTAGGATTCTTCTCAAATAATGGATTTTGCTGTATATTTTGTAAATTAAATCAAGGACATTAGAAATGCAATCAGGGATATTGCAATATTTGTTTGTTTTTGCTTCTTTATTCCAACATTTTTGTTTCTTCCCTCTGGAAGGACTTCTACCTACCAATTGTAGGTTCCTCCCTACTGTAAGAAGAATCTCTAAAATAAGAGAAATCAAATAAACACCACCTAAAAAGCACTTTAACCATCACACTATACTGGCTCTTAAAAAATAAACCTACAGCCACTGCCACCTACTGTCCACAGGGATAGATTTAACAAATTATTTTTAAATTGTTTTACAAGTATTTCCATTTATGATTGTTGATTTTGCCTATAAGTTGGTATTATAAGTTTGCATCCAGAAAGGTGTTTGTTGTTGCAATGCTGCTGTCCTACCTGTGATATTACAGTATGTCCATTTCTTATCTACATCATAGTTGCTAGTGGTTGCACACCAGCATTTTCCATTTCTCATGCCATCTGCAGTACATGTTGTATATAATTTATCTTTGTAGATGAATGGGAAGACACATGTTGGATCTTCAATATTTGGATCTGGCCCTAATAAAAAAAAAATCCATACAAATATTTGAAACACAAAAAAAATATCCTTGTTTTATTATGCTCATCATACTAAAGATATAGCAGCAGACATGCCTTTATTGAAGGGTAGTAGGCAACTGTGGAATCAGCTACCCCCAGAGGTCCGGGCCTTACCCACTCTTGTGGCCTTCCGGAAAGCCGTTAAAACCTGGCTGTTCCAGCAGACCTGGGGCTGTTGACCTTAGTGTTAAGGTCCAGCCCCGATTAGAACGTATGTGTGTTGTGAATTTTAAACTTTTTTTTTTACTTATTTTGCTTTTCTTTTTTCGTTGTAAGCCACCCGGAGTCCTCGGGATTGGGTGGCCTATAAATTTAATAAATGAAATGAAATGAAACTGGAATGTACCCAATCTCTTGCAAAAGCCACTTACATTGATGGCCAACATGTTTATTAAGAATAAATTCTGCATGGACAAAAACAATATTTATACATAGTTCCTTCCATATCAACTATGTGCTAACTGCATCTCCAGGTAGTTTGGGTTCCAATCCTCACAATCGCTTACCATTAGTCATTAATCAAGCAGTGAGAATGATGGTACATAAAATTCAAAATATTTGTAGGACATCAAGTCGCATAGTCCTATCTTAAGCCTCATCATTTAAAGTAGATATGATTGTAGTTCTTGCATAATGCCCTAGCATTTCTTTCTCCATTTCCTATACCTCCAAAATACCAGAAACATTCTAAAAGAAATCCATACAATCAGAGATTAGAATTTATCTTATGAAAATCTTATCTAGCAAGGGAGAAGCCTGACATATACATACACATATACATATACATATACATATACATATACATATACATATACATATACATATACATATACATATACATATACATATACATATACATATACATATACATATACATATACATATACATATACATATACATATACTTTTTTATACACTTTTTCCAATGGAATTATATTTATTTCTCATGAGATCACCTAATTCCTCTGAACAGAACCTCCACATTTTGTCAATATCATAGTTACTGCTGGTGGCACACCAGTATCTTCCATCACTCCGGCCATTTGTGGTACAACCAGTGTAAACCTGGTTCTTGAAGACAAATGGAAAGACGCAAGGTAGACTTTCCACATTCTCATCAGGTCCTGACAATAAGAAAGAAGAATTTGTAATTATTGCAAAACTCTTTCCAACGTATTCTTTTCTTATTTTCAGAAGTTTTTTTAGAGTCTTAGTTATAGTTGCTTTACCAAACAATGCTTTACCCATTTTACTATAAAGAAAATGGACTATGTCCCACAATCCCTAGATCATGGTCATGCAAATTCCATCAGTTCAAAACCCACACTTGTACAGCTCATTAGGAATACACCCCAAAGTACAAAGCCACTGTCTATTATCTGAAGGGGCTTCAGATATGTGTTTGCAATACTGTAAGTATTTGCAGTTTAAGATACCCAGTTTGTCCATGAAAACCTTCTATATCAAAATGCAATCATAAAATGGCTGCTGCTGCATTTTGTACACCACTGCTGAGACAGTAATATAGCTAATCACATTAGGAAATGGTGTATTTTCGTAGAGTGAAGGATTGCAAAGCATTGTAATAATGCATTCCCGATTAACATGAAAATTAATGCTTATTTTTGCATTTACTGAATATTCCAACATATTTTTAGTTTTTTAAAAAAACAAAATCCTCTTTGAAAATGTATATTTTAAATAAAAAATGTATCAACTGTATTTTGAGGTAAAAACACCTGCTCTACAATGCTTATTTAAATATATACTAGGTTGCTATACAGTAACTGGCATGTAAGTGCACACACATAAAAAATCTATTTGTCCTCTCCTATCCTATGGAAGCATAGCACAAAACTCTGGGAAGTCTGCATGAGAAGAGAACCAGAGGATATATCTTTCTTTTTTGAGTCTGCACAGGGGACTCAAGATGATGGAAATATCCAGTCAGTCATAGTTTTGGGGATGTTTTACCATGCACACATGCATTGGACATACTCTCGATTTTTTTGATGGTCCCTACAGATGCTCCACTGTCCTTCTATATCTGACCTTCTTCAGAGCTCCTTTTATTCTCCTTTACAATTATAAAATTGTTCTTATTTATTCATTCTCCAATCTTTACATTGTACTTGATCTTCTTTTCCTACCTGTGTCATTACAATATGCCCATTTTTTATCTACATCATAACTGGTGGTGGTGGCACACCAGAATTTCCCATCACTCATGCCTTCATTAGTGCATGTACTGTAGACCTTTTTGTTGAAGATGAATGGAAATACACATGATGGACTTTGTATCATTGGATTTGGCCCTGGGTTTCAAACAAAAAGGCAAGTGAATACAAGGATACGTGATCCATTCTTACAAATAGTGAATGCCAACTTATATTCCACAAAAAGTCCATAAATAAAACCAAAATTCAGTCCCCATAATTGAAACAGTGTGCTCACATGCTTTCAAGCATTCATTTTTCTACTTTATTTCTACCTCAAGCATAGTAAGGATTCAACAGCTAAGTAAGTATTAATTGTTGATGGGACTGGAAGGATCCTAGATGTCTTTTGTAGGTCCCATACTTCCATCTATCTATCCATCTTTCCATCCATCCATCCATCCATCCATCTTCTAGCTATTCTTTTTCAATTTTTTTCTATTCCATTTACCCAGAGGGGGGAAAACAAAAAGACATTTATTCAGTCATTTAATGTTTACAAATTATGTGGAACAAAATTTGAGTACTTTGTTCCTTGGGTGTTCCAGGGACATATCCTGTCATTCATTCTTAGATATACCACCTTTAAACAGATAGTATCAGAATGGTATATAGAGGCCATCTTTTCTTAAACTGTCAGAGCAGAAAGACACATACAATTTGCATTATGTCAGTCTTCCATGTACGGAATTATAAATGATCTCGTCAACCTCTCCTGGAAGGAAAGATTTCTCTATTTTTATCCAGTATATATCCTGTGGGATGTTTTCAGTTACATTGACTACAGGAGGCACCATGTTACTCATTTTATTCTTATTGGTAGCCAAATATTATTTTATAATTTGCTGTTGTTGTTAAAAGTGAATCCTCATTCTTAGTTCAAGGAAACATTCTGGGACATTTTCTGTTGCTCTGTTTGACATCTACCTACCTTTGGGGCTCACTGACATTTCCATTCTGTTCAGTCAACAATATGTTCTGTGTATAGTATGTAGCTATCTTGCCACATGTAAAATTGAAAAAAAATCCCATGCACTCAAAGTTACCTCCACCCTCTCTTTCCACATTCCTATGGACATCTACTGAGGAACAATTGAATATGAGCAAGCCCTTATTACTGTAATAGTAAAGCTATGCAGAGGTGGCACGCAGTTGCCCAGGTCAGCCAGCTGGTCATCAGGTTTCCAACATGTGCATGCATACTAGCCAGCTGGTTGTTGGTCGTGCACGCCTGCACACACATGCATATGCACCTTCCAGTTTCGGCACTCTGTGCCAAAAAGGTTCACCATCACTGCCTTATTACAATGTGCTTCAGATCCTTAGGAGTTCTTGTAGAAGTTATAGAAAGACACTACTAACGGTAAGCATTAATTCTAAAGCACTTGCTTATATTCAATTACCTCTTGACAGACAGGAGCAGCATCAAAGACATGATTCCATTTTCTGGTTAACATATAGAATGTGCAAAAACACGTTTCGAATATCCGTTTGTCATTCAATTCAAACATATTCCCTCATATATTTCATTATGACCCCTCCCTATTTTCTTCTTGTAACACTTCACTGCTTTACCTAAATCTTGGCAGAGCTTCAGTTTCCTATCAACATCATAATTCTGGGTTGTTGCACACCAGAACTTCCCATCTCTCCGTCCATCTGCAGTACAATTTCTGTAAAGCTTTCCCTGATAGATGAATGGGAAAATGCACGGTGGACTTTCCATGATCTCATCAGGCCCTGATATTTAAGAATACAAAAAAAGAAGGAAATTAATCAGAATTATCCTTGCAGCAAAGTAACCGCTGAGACAAGCTTTCAGTCATCTGAAGATAGAAGAATGTGCACCAAAGCACATAGTCATTCCATTTATCCGGTGGATTTATTAAATGCCTGGAAGAGAGATCACATGCAGGTACCCTGCTTGGGCTTCTTTCATTTTCTTGAAAAGTTTGGATAGATGTTTATATGCTTAACTTGTTCTAGAGGTCCTATACTGTAAATATAGATAGGAATAAGAATTAGTTAGACCCATAGAAGATAACATGTATTGCTCAAGGCTGAATTGTGGTGCCCTCTGAGCTTGGTTGCTATTAGCAGTGATAATTTTACCTAGTTTGGTAATTAAAAATCTGCAAGAAAGCAGCCAACTTCAGAGAGAATTCCACATGTTAGACCTTTGCTTTGAGCAATATACAAAATTTCAATTTAACCCACACATTCAATAAATATATCATGCATGCATAAACAAAGATGCAGTGACTTCTGTTGCGTGTTTCTTTCTCTCCAATACCTATAATACCTTGTTTAATATAAAAATTGTTTCAGATTTTCATCTGATATTTCCCCAGTTTTATCTAACATAATTCACTTTTGATGAAGCAAGCAGTACAACACAATATTCTGAAACAACTGTTTCCATAACAAAGCACAAAGTTGTAAAAATGACTACACATGAAAAACGAAAACCATATAGAATGCCATGTTGATGTACACTATCACAATATCTGATGTAAGCATGCAACTCAGTAGACTGACATGATGGTGACATCACTCATGTGTTTTCATCCTCTGCATTATAAAAATGTTGCCCTAAAATAATGGAAGTAGGAACATGGTGTGCCACTGTTCATATTTCATGTACTAGTTTCTTTTTGGGCAACACAGAAATGATTGGAGTCATTTTTACTAAATAATTTGCTAATTATTTCCCATGAATATTTCTGAGTATTTCCTTATTTATATTCTCCATTTCTTGAGGAACATGCTTTCAGTTGTGAAGAAAACAAAGCCCCACAAAAGTTTTTTTTTAATATCTCTTTCCCCTAGAAAATAGTCAATAAAATGGTCACTTTCATTCTGCACTACAAATTCTTCAGACAGAAAATATCTCCTCACTTTATAAAATTTGAGTTAACTCATAACATTTTGGAAGTCCTTCAGAAAGATACTGTAAATGAAGTATCTGGTTTTAATAGAAAAACGCTGCCTATATACGGACTATTTTTGTAATTTGTATCCAATACCAGACAGCACTTAATTGGAAGGAAAGCGTTTACTTCTGGGGATATACTTGGGTGCTTGATATTGTTTTAAATGATTATTTTCATTTAAAATTAGACATGGTTTGCTATAAATATCTTAATATTTCAACTCAGACAAATGCTATCATCAGTTTCATTCGACCCTTATGAAATTCCATGCACAAAAATGGTTTTGCTTCTATTTCTGCACCATTCAATTCTCACCAGCTCAAGGTTGACTCAGCCTTCCATCATTCTGAGATCAGTAAAATAAGGACCCAGATTGTTGGGGGCAATATACTGAGTCTGTAAATTGCTTAGAGCCAGGTTGTCAAACTCCCAGCCTGCAAGCCCGATGCATCACACACTGGCCATGCCCATGCCCAGTTTAGCGAAGCAGAAAAAAGTCCCAATACATCATGTGATGATGCCATGCCACCATGAGTTTAACACCTCTGGCTTAGAGAAAGCTGTAAAGCACTTGAAGTGGTATGGAAGTCTAAATGCTACTGCTATTCTTCCTACCTGAAGGCTCATAGTAAGTCCACTGCAGGTCTGAATTATAGTTTTGGGTGAAGGAGCACCAAGATGTCTTGCCAAACATCCCATCTGTTGTGCACATGAAGTAGAAATTTTGGTTGTACAAAAAAGGAAAGACACACTTTTCTTTGGGATCAGCATATGAACAGAGTATATGAAATAAGGTTTGTGAAATCAGGTCACTAAGTTCCATTGATTTTTTTTTTTTAAAAAAAAAGATTTACACTGTACAATCGAAATATAGTTCATTTTATGTTTATGGATTCAAATCTCACATTTGAGGTGCATTAGAAACTGTATGTATGTATGTATGTATGTATGTATGTATGTATGTATCTGTGTCGGTGTCGGTGTCGGTGTGTCTGTGTGTGTCTGTGTGTGTGTTGTATTTGTGCTGATAAATAAATAAAGGGAGACTAGTATAGATCTATTTCAAGCTATTTAGCTCTCATCAGCTAGCCATACCCTTCCTGGGAATCGAAACTCTGCTATGGCTAGCTGATGA